ACAAAATGTTTAAAAACTTTCTTTTTTAATTGTATTTTTGTCCTTCCAACCGCATCTATTAACATTGGAACGCCATTAACATTTTTTTTTACCTCAGATTTGTTCAGCTCTTGTTATCTCTTCCCGAATCCCAGGTATGTATATATGTATTCTCCTTCATCTTTTGGGTTTACTTGTCGGTGCTTACTCTGCTCTTGGGTTTGATCTCCAGTTGTGTTTTTCTTTTAATCGATTTTGTTTCTTTTCTCTGCGATTTTGGATGTTTATGCGTTCGTATTTGAGCTTCGTTTTCTCGTCCATGATATGATATATTGTTGTGTGTTTGTACTGAATTTGGTTATTTCGCTACATGGATTTGTAATTTTGAGGGTTTTTAATTTATTTTTTTTAGGGTTGGGCCTTCCCTGTGGCTCATTTGGAATCTGTTTTTACTGTAATTTTTATAAAGGAAACTACTTCAGTATGAGTTGGGGTTGGGCTTGTTCGCTCATTTGTTCTGGAAATAGCAATTTGACTATTTGGTTAGTCCATGCCCTGAGACTTGAACAAACATGTGATGAAGATGTTGAGAGTTTATTAAGTAGACTGTACTCAAAAGACTCTTTAACTTCAAGTGTGATTGATTGAACATGTTTAAAACTGCTTTCTTATGAGTAAAACTTATTGTTCTTCTCAATTAACTTATTTTATGTATCATGCATTTCTTTTAGTTATCCGATAGTATGCGTTCCTTTTTTTTCGTTTCCCTATCGCTATGATTGCATTAGGCTCTTGTGCTTCTATATAAGCTGAAATTCTTACTTTCCGACTTATTTTAGATCAGCAAGGCAAGGCGCCAACAGTTAAATAGTTGCTCCAATGTACATGTATGATTTTGCAAGTAGCTGGAAGAACTAGTCATTTAAGAAAAGTTTTATTTGAACTTCAAACCTGACAAGGATATGTTTGAAACAACTGAAATGATCAATTTTGCGCTACACTACTTGAAATGGGACAACTTTGTCCGCCATTTTGTTTTTGCTAAATTTGGACCGGTTATGATGTACCAAATTAACAAGTTTTTATCAGTTCAGTCTTTCTTCTTTTTTTTTCTTGTGGAAAAAGGAGAGGTGGTGGTTGTTGTAGGGATGTTCTGTTACTTTATATATTGAGAGTTTGTATTAATTTTTATTTGTATTTGCATAATATTGACATGAGAAGAGTTTAAATGGAGTAACATGGTTAGTAAGGATTCATGTCGATAACCACAACTTGTTTGCGACTGAGGTGTAGTTATAAACAAAATCTGGCTTTGGGCACCTATGTTGTATACTTGAATGTCCCCAGGAGATCTCTGCCATCTTAATTGTCATCCAGGAAGTTGCTTTGATAACTGCAAAAGATTTTCTCTTAGCATAAAATATGACAACTTGCTCTTAAAAGGAAATTTTAACTTCTAATTAATTAATTTCATCCGTCTTACAAGTTTCTTCTAACTCATATCCCTGTGAGATTAGTGTAGTTAGCAAGCATCCTCATAGTTGATAGGTCCTGAATGAATGCCCGTGAAATGGTGGTCTTTTCAACTGCTAGATGCTACATTAAAAGAGAGGAACTGGAGGTGCTTTAAGCACAAATACAACCACATTCAGAGAATAAAAACTTAACATTTCTTTTGTTTGCTTTTGGTGTAGAATGAAACTTATTAACAAGCTGAATCTATTTTAGAGCTCCTACTCCTAGAATACCTACAGCTTTAGACGTGGATGTACTTTTGTTTTCTCCCTTTTGCCTCAACAGATCTCCAGGTTTCTTAGTGTTGTTATGAATAAAACATTCTCATTTCACCCAAAATTATAAATACAGTTGCTATTTGCCATTAAGTTTCAACTGTGGAAGCTAGATATTAGAAAATTCTTCAAATCAGTTGGTATTTTCCATTTACAGTGTTATGATAGTGTAGTAGGACACAAACCTTTGGTACCTTAGGTATGATAAAAGTATATATTCATGTGCCAGGGCTAAGGTTGGAGGTAGCCTGTTATCCGCAAAACATGTGACATGCATATATGAGCATCTTTGACTTTGTCTAGTTATTGAACATTAAAATTATCACTGTATGAGAAAGATGGTAAATTAGTATAAATCTTCTGGCATGATGAAACCTGCAGCATTCGTTATATGCTAAGTTGTTATTGTGCTGTTACTATATTGCTCTGCTGCCTTATTATCTGTTGTATTATCTGAGAAATAGTTCCATCTCTGTTATAAATTTGGCATTTAAAAGAAAAGTAATGCGAGGTTTAAGCTTAGTTTCTTACACGTAGCTTAACTTTGGGTGGCAATTCCTTTAGGGATTTGTAAAGGGTATCAATGGTTGTAAGCTATTCCTTTAGGGATTTGTAAAGGGTATCAATGGTTGTAAGCTATTCCTTTAGGGATTTGTAAAGGGTATCAATGGTTGTAAGCTATTCCTTTAGGGATTTGTAAAGGGTATCAATGGTTGTAAGCTATTCCTTTAGGGATTTGTAAAGGGTATCAATGGTTGTAAGCTATTCCTTTAGGGATTTGTAAAGGGTATCAATGGTTGTAAGCTATTCCTTTAGGGATTTGTAAAGGGTATCAATGGTTGTAAGCTATTCCTTTAGGGATTTGTAAAGGGTATCAATGGTTGTAAGCTATTCCTTTAGGGATTTGTAAAGGGTATCAATGGTTGTAAGCTATTCCTTTAGGGATTTGTAAAGGGTATCAATGGTTGTAAGCTATTCCTTTAGGGATTTGTAAAAGGTATCAATAGTTTAAGCTGCACAAATATGCAGAATTTGCATCCTCGGTACCAACAACAACAACAATATACTAGTGAAATCCCATAGTGAGGCCGGGGAGTGGGGAGGGTAGCATGTACGCAGACCTTACCCTTACCTTTACCCCTACCTATGTGGGTTGTCCCCGGTAGGCCTGGGGATAATATGGTTAAAACCGAAAAAACCGACCGAACCGAATTTGTTTAAATTTAGATTTCGGTTATTTCGGTTTCAAATTTCAATATTTTGGTTTTTTAGCTAAAGAAAATTGGTTAACGGTTAACCAAAATTATATATATATATATATATTCTTTACACCCTTAATTAAGTTTCTTCAGCCCATGCTCTAGCCGGCCCATTACCCATAGCCCACAAATGTGGCCCAAATTCCAATCAGAATTGAAATCCCTAACCTGAAAGAGTGAAATCCCTAACTCCCATCTCTCAACTCTCATCAGTTGTCTCTCAACTCTCAATCTCTCATCTCTCAGCTCGTCGTCCTTTGTCTCTTAAGTTCAGGCCAGCCGCTGCCCGCTGCTCAGTCCTCACTGAGTGCTCGCAGCCCGCAAGCCACTTCTGGAGGTGCTTTAAGCACAAATACAACCACATTCAGAGAATAAAAACTTAACATTTCTTTTGTTTGCTTTTGGTGTAGAATGAAACTTATTAACAAGCTGAATCTATTTTAGAGCTCCTACTCCTAGAATACCTACAGCTTTAGACGTGGATGTACTTTTGTTTTCTCCCTTTTGCCTCAACAGATCTCCAGGTTTCTTAGTGTTGTTATGAATAAAACATTCTCATTTCACCCAAAATTATAAATACAGTTGCTATTTGCCATTAAGTTTCAACTGTGGAAGCTAGATATTAGAAAATTCTTCAAATCAGTTGGTATTTTCCATTTACAGTGTTATGATAGTGTAGTAGGACACAAACCTTTGGTACCTTAGGTATGATAAAAGTATATATTCATGTGCCAGGGCTAAGGTTGGAGGTAGCCTGTTATCCGCAAAACATGTGACATGCATATATGAGCATCTTTGACTTTGTCTAGTTATTGAACATTAAAATTATCACTGTATGAGAAAGATGGTAAATTAGTATAAATCTTCTGGCATGATGAAACCTGCAGCATTCGTTATATGCTAAGTTGTTATTGTGCTGTTACTATATTGCTCTGCTGCCTTATTATCTGTTGTATTATCTGAGAAATAGTTCCATCTCTGTTATAAATTTGGCATTTAAAAGAAAAGTAATGCGAGGTTTAAGCTTAGTTTCTTACACGTAGCTTAACTTTGGGTGGCAATTCCTTTAGGGATTTGTAAAGGGTATCAATGGTTGTAAGCTATTCCTTTAGGGATTTGTAAAGGGTATCAATGGTTGTAAGCTATTCCTTTAGGGATTTGTAAAGGGTATCAATGGTTGTAAGCTATTCCTTTAGGGATTTGTAAAGGGTATCAATGGTTGTAAGCTATTCCTTTAGGGATTTGTAAAGGGTATCAATGGTTGTAAGCTATTCCTTTAGGGATTTGTAAAGGGTATCAATGGTTGTAAGCTATTCCTTTAGGGATTTGTAAAGGGTATCAATGGTTGTAAGCTATTCCTTTAGGGATTTGTAAAGGGTATCAATGGTTGTAAGCTATTCCTTTAGGGATTTGTAAAGGGTATCAATGGTTGTAAGCTATTCCTTTAGGGATTTGTAAAGGGTATCAATGGTTGTAAGCTATTCCTTTAGGGATTTGTAAAAGGTATCAATAGTTTAAGCTGCACAAATATGCAGAATTTGCATCCTCGGTACCAACAACAACAACAATATACTAGTGAAATCCCATAGTGAGGCCGGGGAGTGGGGAGGGTAGCATGTACGCAGACCTTACCCTTACCTTTACCCCTACCTATGTGGGTTGTCCCCGGTAGGCCTGGGGATAATATGGTTAAAACCGAAAAAACCGACCGAACCGAATTTGTTTAAATTTAGATTTCGGTTATTTCGGTTTCAAATTTCAATATTTTGGTTTTTTAGCTAAAGAAAATTGGTTAACGGTTAACCAAAATTATATATATATATATATATTCTTTACACCCTTAATTAAGTTTCTTCAGCCCATGCTCTAGCCGGCCCATTACCCATAGCCCACAAATGTGGCCCAAATTCCAATCAAAATTGAAATTCCTAAAGTGAAAGACTGAAATCCCTAACTCCCATCTCTCAACTCTCATCAGTTGTCTCTCAACTCTCAATCTCTCATCTCTCAGCTCGTCGTCCTTTGTCTCTTAAGTTCAGGCCAGCCGCTGCCCGCTGCTCAGTCCTCACTGAGTGCTCGCAGCCCGCAAGCCACTTCTCATTGGCCACTGCTCAGTGCTCGCTCGCGAGTCGCGCCTCGAAGGTCAGTGCTCATCACGTCCCAACTCTCATGTTGAATACTTATATTGAATTAGTCAACCTCATACCTTAAAATACAGACCACAAGACATTTAAAACCAGATCATATTTGAAACTTCATGGAATCTCAAATTTGTTTCTTTTTGCTGCTGTTAATGTATGATAAGTTACATACAAACGCATGTAGTGATATTCTCAAATGCACATTTATGTACTTACTTTAAAAAGTATGTTATAAAAAAATTATAAAGACAGGGAAGTTAGAGAAAGCAAAACATGAAATTTCAAGGAACCTAAGTAGTCCTATCATATAAAAAACAATGTCTTCCAGAGAATATACAGATCATGGTACTATTAAAGTGCAAATCTTGTCTATCCTAGTTCCTGGGACTGTTTTCAGATTCCCTTCGGTCTTCAAATCCGTATTGTCATCTCATGTTACAGCATTGAGGCCGGCCTAGCTGTTGTAATTTGTTCCATATACAAATCATTTGTCTAGGGGACTGGTAAATTAGGATGTGTTGCAGTGTTGGTACATGTATAACTTGTGAATTCTATTGATGTAATACCAAACATAAGGATACATTATTTGCTATTGCTATGGCCTATGAAGATTCATATTCAATTGATAGATACATAGACATCCTCATCCTTTGGATGCAGTCTGTTAGTGTGTTGTACTGTTGCATTGCTGCTGCTGGTAGGTGTTACTCTTAGTGTGTAATTAGTAATGTGTTGGAAGTTAGCTTAGCTTGTTTGGTGTTATAAGTTATAACTATAATACTGCTCTTTGTTTGTTTTTGGGTTCCTTGTATCTGGACAAAAAAAGTGAGACGTACTTCAAACATAAAAAAGTGAACAAAAGTGATTGAATTTTGAAAATGTACCACTATTTATTAAATTTGGTTAAACCGAAACTGAACCGAAATTGTAATAACCAAACTGAACCGTTATTTCAATTTGGTTTGGTTTCACATTTTTGCCAAACCGAAATGCCGAACTGACCGAACTCCCACCCCTAGTTCCAGGTAGACCCTCAGCTCAAAAGAAATGTCTCCGATGCAGGGTTGTAAGTATGATTGAAAATGGACACAAATATCTATTGTTTTTTATTACACTATTTATAGATTCCTCAAATTGTTTCTGATGCTTTCTTTGTGCTGAAAAGGACAAAGAGCATTTTCTGGTTAAGTTGGTTCCCATAGTTTGTCTTCTGTCTCAGTGATCTTTAGTAAATAGTTTTTGAAATCATAATAGATCCAAGTCCTGCCTTAGTATAAAATGAAGGTGTACAAAGGAGGTGTGTATGGACGTAGTTATACCAAATATTCTAGTTAATATTTTCTTAAGCGGCAACAGGTAGTAGTTTTGATGGTTATTTCAGAGGGGCATCCTATGAGAGGATCTTGCATTTTCAAACTCTTGTTTTATTTCCATTCGCTATATGTTGTGGCACCCACTTACAATCATGGAATAACCTTGGAACTTTCTCTTGATAACCTGCCTAATTTCCATACATCTCATTGTAGTATGCTTGCTAAACTTGCGCGAGTAAAATTCAACTTTGTGAGAAATCTCAAAGATTTTTTTTTACGTATTTGTTTCCAGGACGAATGGCTGGAAAAGCTGTAAAATCTGTAGCAAAAGCAGTTGGGGAATATCAATATCCATGGCAAGAAAAGTTGGTAAAATACAAGGATGAGCTTTCAAAGGGAGTTTGGGGTTACTGGGAGCTTGGAGCCTGGAAACCTCTGGGGATCAGTGCTCGCCATCGAGCTCGTCTGCGCAAGGAAGTTGTTCTTGCTGGACAAGATTGGCCATACGATCCAGCGAGAAAGGAAATGAGAACAAAGCAGAAAGGGCACAAGTGTGACAGAATATCAGCAGAAAAACGGGCAAAGACAGCTGAACTGATGCAAAAAATGCCTGAAATGTTGGCTGATTATAGGAAGAGAAAGTGGGAAAGGAAAATGAAAGCAGAAGAAGATGCTGCCAGAAAATCACTGCAAGAATAGGTTATACATGGGAATGGGATCCTTTCTTTTTCGACAATATAATGGACCAAAGATTTCCTGCTCACTTTTTGTTCTGTATTTTCAAACCGTAGCAATCGGCGTTATTTGCCTTGCTATTAGATGTGAGTTAATAACTAGTGTTTTGTTTTTCTTCATATGATCTTATTATGAAAACAAACAAAAAAGATGTTTATGGAGCATATCGAGTAGTTAAGTTGTTGTTAGTGTAATAAGTTTAAATATTAGATTAGATGAGAAAATGAATAAGAAGAAAAAAGAGATGAAGGTCTTAGAACTTGTTTGGATTGATTATTTTAAGTTTTTTTTTTAAAGAGATAAAGTGGTTAAAACACACCTAAACTATCCTTTTTTTGAGTTTCATATCCAAATTATTGAAAGTGTGAGAAACACACCTAAACTATTACACTTTAGTTTGAAAAGCACACCTCTGGTAAGCTAGTAGCTGATGAGCCTTTTTATGACAGTTCTTATGCCGACAGTTTTGAAAGTGAAAGTGAGGGGGAAAGATCTGATATTTTAAGGGCAAGAAAGAAGGACAAGAGGGTCTCATATGATCCAACATGGAAAAAAGTTGTGTGGCAACTAAATATGGTATTTGAAAATGTGAGACAATTCAGAGAAGCTTTGAGCAAGTATGCAATTAAGAGAATAAGATCCACAATGATCAAAGAAGGGTCAGGGTAAAATGCATAGCTAGTGGCTGTCCTTGGATACTTTATGCAAGCAAAGATTTCAAATCTTCCAATCCTAGACATAAGTGTTATAGGACCAATACCAACACAATGTGCAGCACTAAGTTTTTGGCCAAGTACTATAAAAGTAGAATTGTTTCTCAACCTTGCATAAAGGGATGGGAAATACAAGACTTGGTCAGGACAGACATGGGATTGATGCCAAGGTATGCGATAAGCTATGTTGGGATTAGTTATGCTAGGATAAGTTATGTTGGGATATGTTATGCTAGGATTAGTTATCCTGAGAGTATTTCTTATTGATTGTTTGATTAGTCGTATTCAAAATAATGTACATTGCATAATTTCTAAGAATAAGTTATTTATTTACAAAATTACCATCCAACATATCTAGTTTGTTATATTTTCTTTGCAAACTTTCATTATTCATTCTTAAAAAAAAAAACTTTCATTTTATATCACTTAAATATTTTTGTGTATGCATTCTCATGATTGTACCTTGTATGTTTTATAAAATTTTCATTTTATTTAGCTCAAAAATTAAAAAAATCATCTTAAAAGTAAAAGAATATATATTATTTATATCACTTAATTTAAGCACATATCACTCTTAAATTGAAAAATATTAAAATTACCTTCATTTTAATTTATATTTATAATATAAAATTTCAAGTGACTCAAAGAATATTTAATTAAAAATATGTAATTCATTAGTAGAGAAATCAAAATATAAGTAAGCATAAGAATTACTCAAATAAATTCAATGTATGATATATTCATAAATAAAAATAATATTTATATAGTGTAATTCTTTAATGAAAAATATGAAGAATCGTCATAAAAATAAGGAGTTGTGCAAGTTGTGAATGTTATTATATAACATATTAAAAGTAATGTGAATATACATGAATGTGAAAATTATGTATAAAAAGGGTTTAAGGAATACTTTAGTCATTTTACCTATTTTATATTGGGACAAGTTCTCCAAGTATTATATTCCATCAAAAGGTAGAGATAACTTATCCTAATGCTAACTATTAATCTTGAAATATATAAGTTATTCCAGGTTTTGTAACCAAACAAGAGATTAAAGGCTACTCAAAATTTATCTCGGAATTAGCTTTCCTTATCCATCATACCAAATAACCCCTAAATGAAAATAAAATATGAAATATATTATGTTATGAAATATATATTTTATTAACTCTTAAGCAATTAAAGTTAAAGGCCAAATCCATCGATGGCCCCCTAAAGTTGGCATCAACTTTCACTTAGGCACTTCAACTGAGCGATGTTTATTTTAGACACCTCATGTAAGGTTTCGTTGTGCCATTTTGACTCTTTCTGCTAACATGTCAAACTAAGTGTGATACACTCAACACTAGCGCGTAAAAGGCTTTATTTTGCTATTTTTTTAATTTCATTTTGTCTTCTTCTTCTTCTTCGCTATTTCTCAAGCCACCACCTCCCACCATTTTTTCAAGCTTAAACTCCTTCAATCGAGGTCGAATTTTTTTATTTCAATCCGTTTTCAAGCTTTTTTTTCTTTGTATTGCTTTTCTAAATCTACTGTCACCTCGCTCCACCTTTTTCGCCGAAAAAATGAATACGAACACCCATATTTCATATTTGTTCTCTCTTTCTTTTTTCCTCTCCCTGTTTTCTTCCGACAAAACAACACTAAAAAAATAATAAATATAAAAACAAAAGAAAAGAATAATTTTAAAAAAAAACACAAAAGAAATTTCTGACTGTAACAAAAAAAAGCGTAAAAGGGATACTACACTCATATTTTATATTTTCTCTCTGTTTCCCTCCTCCA